ATCGGTACGATGCACCTGCCGGTGCATCTTGTATCGCGTGTACGACGATTCGTTTCTCAACTTAACTGGGAATTCTTTTTAGACCCTGGCACCACGTGCCTACGTCACCTACTACCAGGCTCGGGGACTAAGTGGGCACACTTCACCTTGCGGTGAATGTGCTTGTTTTTCGACCACTACGCCTCTGACGATCAAAGACGCTACGCTTCAAGACACACTTATATTTCTTTTTAGAAATACAAGTGGGCACACTTCCCAGGACGGAAATCTTTTTCTTTCTTCTTAAGAGCACCATACATTCTTCGGACAACCTACTTCTCCGGCGACAACGGTGGTCAGAGATGTCAAGAACTCAAGCCTCACTGTTTGGAGAAGGTTGAAACGGCGTGTCGCATCAGAATACATGGCGCTCGGGGACTAGCTGTGGGGGATATACCCCCGGGTACCACAAGATGGTACATGGGCCGCACCATCCGAGGTGGCCCGGCCCGTAAGATCAAGGTGTACACGGCAGGATTACAAGTTGTACTAGATATTGTAATAGTACCAAATTGGATATTTTACTTGTAACCTTGTCTCTTCGGAGTATATAAGGAGAGACAAGGGTCTCCTAGAGGGGAGGTTAATCTGTATACATCTCAATACAATACACCAAAGACACAGGACGTAGGGTATTACGTCGACCAGACGGCCCGAACCTGTCTAAATCGCTGTCTCTGCGCCTTGTGTCACCATCTGGTTCCTGATTACACGCACCGTCTACCGACAATCAACCACCACGGGCACCCCCCTCGGTGGATTGCCGACCATATTTCGTCGACAGTCAATGTCGTGCAATATATAGCTAATACATGAATGCATCAGTCTACGGTTGCACAAATACTACCATCCATCTAAGGACAGAATGCACGCATCAGCTGTTTAAATTTGTGAAATGATTTCTTCTAGTTTTATGCATGAGAACGACATTCGGCCTAAAATCCAATGAATGTGTTGTCTGTGATATACTATACATGACCAGCGACTACGTTGGATTGCCGTCAATATCTTTTCTGTTTCTCTGTTTGAGATACTCAAAACAAAGTTCCATCTGGCCATTTGAGCTAGATGACAAAAAATTACAAAAGTCAAATGTGCCATTGACCTAAGACGCCGGGCATTGATTGTCCAGTGTCAAGGTATCGCAAATAATGATTCTCATGTATATTTTTTGTTATCTGAGCATCAAATCCATGCATATATAGTGTGTTGAATAGTATGTCGGCAAGAAGACTCTAGTATAATAGAAATATAAACAAGGAACACTCTAATATAGTATAAATATAAAAAAGGAACTATGTAAGAGGAACATGGCAGGGGGATTTGCTCGACCGTCACTATCTTTGGGTGCATTCATCGTTGCACATCAAGAAATTGACCTACATATAAGGGTATATCTAAGTGGTGTGTGCCCCTGTGAGGCTGCTAACAACTAGAGTGGCTGTTATAGTTAACTCCCATGAGCATGATTAGGGTAGCTCTCAAGTCAAAAAAACTGATACTAATTAATCTGATACAGATGGCTTACTAGTATAGAGACGGGGATACTGGCGTATAAACTGGCCTATATGGATATGCAGATACGCAATCTTTTATTCTGTAACAAAAACAAGCCCGGAAGTAGTGGTGATCACGTGCAAGGAGATGCAGCAGTGATATTTTTTAAAGAACCAAATGGAAGTCAAATGATGTCGAAGGTGCGTACGTGTCAGCAAGTGATGCAAGTCAACACTAGATGATTGTGTATGTTGCTGATTTGCTGTTAAGTCAAACTGAATATTCTGTTTTCTTAGTGTAAGTGAACATAGTCAACACAAGATAATTGCCCATTTTGGCTGGCTCAATTGAAACAGCAAAATAAATGGTTCGATTTTACATTCGCTATATGGTCGGAAAGGCTAAGGTTAAAAATTCTACGTGCAAGAGCCGATGCCAAAAGGTAAAATGTGTAATAGATTTAATACCTCCGTAGCTTGTAACGAATTGTGATGCCTTTTAATTTGGCACATTTGCAAGGACTTGGACATTGGTTCTACTGGGAGTGGCAGCTCTGTGTTGGTCCTTGTGGCTACGTAGAAATGCAGGTATATTTTAAAACAAACAATCTTCCTTTTCAGGTCATTTACTCAACTACGCACCGGCTCCGTACGTGATCCAACCTACGGAAGCCTGCTTCCCAGGACGTTGTTGTAGCGGCTTCTTAATACTTTGATAGCCAGTAGTCCCTGGCGATGTTTTTTTCTCTCTTTGGGTTGTGTGCCTTTCAGGCAGAGATTGGGAGGATTTCAAGATGCTGTATCACCTTGATGTAACATTTTTGAAATTAATAAAACTTTCCTTTTCGGAAAAGAATATATTGCTCATCAGCATCAAACAAAGAAATATATGCGGATCATATATTGTGATGATATGAGGAAAAACATGAGCCATTAGATGAAGAGAGAACATATACAATTTTTTTGTTGAGTGAAACATTTTGGGGGCCAGGCTCTACACACAATACCAATTTTTCTGAACACCCCATTTTAAGATACATTTTTGACTCATATTACGTATAGCAATACAAATTCAAGTGCTAGTGGAGCCTCTAGAGTACAAGTATTTATTATAACATACGTAGTCAAAGATTACATATAAGTTTTGATTCCTCTTTAAATTACATTTAACTAGTTTATACACAAATAAAGGGCGATCCTAATCAATAAATGAATGAAAACGACATTGTTATGTTTGAAGCATGATGGTTGTCCGTTGTCCAGCAACCAACAACCTCCTGGCCGGTAAGGTTCTTCTTCAACCTTAGTCTATCACCTCCTATCCCCAAACTCGACAAAGTAACTCCTCGTGCCGTCCATTTCATTGATTTCACAAGTACAAAAACTATTTTTACCAGCTCCAGTTTTTGACCGCCAGTATGAAAGGCCAGTCAAAATAGGGTATTTCCACTAGCGGTGACCATACCGTCAATAGACATACATTTCAACGAAAGCTTGGTTAAGTCACACACCTGTGAAAATTGATTTCTAGTAGTAGTTCTCCTAAGCTATCGCTAGTCCAAAAAGCAATATGAAAAACTATGAAAATATTTTTTTTGCACCTAGGCCCGATTCACCGAAGAGCCCTTGGGACACTGCAATCCTTCCTTACCATCCCACTACACAGCCGCTAATGATAGCAATATGAGAATCATTCCTTTTGACCCGTCCGTGGTGACTATTCTTAGTGGTGGTTTTCTCAAGAAAATTATGTTTTAAAATAGATCTGAGAAATTTTAACAAATATTTGCGAATATAAATAATTTCAAATGAAAAAACTTCAACTACGGAGCTGTAGTTTTCACTAAGCTCTACAACTTTGATATAAATTTTATCTTCATGTGACTTAATATGAAAAGGTTATCAATTTTATATGTGTCATTTTAATCTGATTTGTAGTGGCGGTTAGGTTAAGAAATCCACCTCTACAAAAGGCTATTTGTGCTGGCAAAGAGCCCTGATGATTCTTACTATGTAGAAATATTTAACTAAAAGTATAGTGTTTTTCTTTGATAGAACACAAATTTCCTTTGCGTTTCACCGATGAGCCCGAGCGGCCACCTTGGGTTGCCGTGCAGCAGCTCCACAACTGTGGCAGTTGAAATAAGGTACCACAAGTGAAAATAATTATTTCTAAGAGCCGATGGTACATTATGAATGTGTTTGGTTTGATTAATGGGATAGTCCATTACGAAAATAACTTTTTTGTTTGGTTTGCGGAATGAATGAAATGGGTTGACCATCACTATCTTATTCCTCATAATCTAATAATTAGTACTAATGCATGCCACCTTATAAAGCATGAGGTGACTCCACAGACCAATTGAAATCATTACCTTGGGACCTATTTTCACAGAAGAAAAAGTCGAAAATATATATATCAGAGATGCATTCGATGGAAGTACAAATCAAAAGGAGAAAATCATCCTCAGCACAATGCACGCAAATGTACAGACAGAATGTACGTGTGCCGGCAGCTGGTGTGTCACGTACGCATACATACATGATGAACTGTGACAAGTGGACTAGCTAGGGAAGCTAAGCTATGGTGCGGCCGCCGTCGATGCAGATGACTTGGCCAGTCATGTAGGACGCCGCCGGCATGCAGAGGAAGGCCACCATGGACGCCACCTCCTCCGGCTCACCGATCCGCCCCATGGGCAGCCGCGCCATCTCCTTCTTCACCAGCTCCGGGTCTATAGTCTTCTGCAAAAATAATTCAATCGTCCCATGAGGTCATATATCATCTAAAAGATTAATTTGCGTAGGTAGCAGCTGACAGAGGTTAAGCTTACATCACTGCTGATGTCAGTTCTGATGCCACCCGGCGCGACGCAGTTGACGCGGATGCCGTCGCCGGCCCACTCGGCTGCGAGGCTGCGTGTGAGCTGGTTCATGGCGCCTTTGGACATGGAGTAGACGGCGAGTGCCGGGAGCCCAATGAAGCCAGCGATGGAGGAGATGTGCACGACGCTGCCGCCACCGCCGCTGGCCCGCAGGAGCGGGTGCGCGAGCTGATTGAAGTGGAAGCACGACTCCAGGTTGGTCGCCATGATCCGCGCGTAGTCCTCGCCGGTGCACTCCAGCGTGTGCTTGAACATCGACTGCCCCGCGTTGTTCACGAGGATGTCGAGCTTACCGCCGAAGGTGGCGCCCACGGTGGCCATGAGGTCCTCGCGGTCGGCGCGCACGGACACGTCGCAGACGGAGACGGTGACCTGCAGCCCCTTTTCCTCCCACCGCCGGCGGCACTCCTCCAGCTCCGCCGCATTGCGTGAGCACGTGTGCACCCTGGCGCCGAACCCGGCGAGCTCCTCCACGATCGCGAACCTGCCACCGATCACAGACACACGTCCATAATTTAAGTGACTCGTACAAACTAAGTAGTACATCGCATGCGAGATCATCAGAGCACGTAATGTGTACCCAATGCCCTTGCTGCCGCCGGTGACGAGAGCCGTGGCGCCGGCGAGGTTCCACCGCTCCGCCATGCTCATGCACGCAGTCACCATCTTCTTCCTCTGAATCTCTTGACTTGTATATGTATAATGTATTACAGATCGGAATTAGAGTGATCGCCGATGGATTTAGAGTGCAAATGGGATGGATGAGATGCTACTCCACATCCATGCAGCATGTATTTATAGTGATCTTACGGGATGGCACCTCCATTGAAATGTGCACTAGAGCACTAAGCAGAGGTGAGCTGACTTTGAATAAACTATAGACCATGTTTAGTCATCTAACGGCCGGATTTGGACAGATACGGCGCACATGAAGACAGCCGAGCAACCTCTGCTGGTTTATTCTAAGCATCCGCCCAAAGAAAATATTAATAAAAAACCTTCCGCCTCTAAAAATCTTTTTTTTTAGTAGTGCTCCTCCTCCAGCGTACTCACTGGTGAGGGACCTGAACTCGCCAGAACGGAAGAAGGCGAGGGACGTAGACAGCAGCATGGCGGCGGCGGCGGTGTCTCCTGGTGATGGCTGGTTGTTAACATTGCGTTAATCACTTGGGATGAACGTAACTAATTAGTACAGGCCACATATAGACACAAAGCTTAATAATTTTCGTACTTATAGTTATACGATGATTTGTCCTGGTACTCCTGTTCCAATTTTAAGGTGTGAGAAAATAAGATTAATAACATCTGTATGGATGCCTAAATACAACGTGCACCCAAATTTGATCGCGGTATATCAAACTCCAAGGCCGCAACTTGTCGCCGCCAACCACACGCTTATATAAAAATTTGGAATATTTATTATCCAAGTAAACGGAATATTTATTCATGACGGAAAGTTGACTTTACTTTGTTGTGCTTTGAGCTGCTAATGTCAAAGTTTCCAACATATATAATGCATAATCACCTGAATATACAAAGGTAAGCAAAGAACATATACATGTTTATAAGTAAGTATAAACAAGCATGCTAGGCTCACGAAAATTGTGTACACTGTGCAACGTCCATTGAATCACCTGCAACTTAATTTAGTATTATATAGGGAGTGTCTAATTATTCTGCCATATTTTTTTATAAATGCGACCCAGTAGACAGTTGTAGCACAAATCATAAAGCACAACTAAACGTATAGAAATCTGACAAATGTAGTAGCAAAAAAAAGTGTCAACCAACAAATAGCAAAAGTCTTATATAAATATATATATATGAACCAGAAAATCACCATATTCCTTTGTACCCCCTTTTGGCTCTGTCATCCATTTTTTAAGATATATATAGTTGTTATAAAAGGTTAATATATATAGAGGTTATGTTCGTTGTTTTCCGCGTTTATTTAAGTAGATCTATTGGGTTGAATCTTGGGATGGCTATATGCATGCCAAATATAATATCCTATGGTCGTAATAAAAAAATATGAATAGATAAATTGAAACAAGGATCTGCTTGGCTGTCCATATCAGTGGATATACTTCGGTGGGTACTTATTTACAACAAATTTTCAAATACCTAGATAATCAAACTATGATTGTCTGGTAAATTAACTAACTAAATGGGTCAAATGACTGCCCATTGTAAGAGCCCTCTTTGGGGGAGGGGGGGTGGCGGCTAGGGTAGACGGGGCTGGTGGTGGCACAGGGGGGAGGGGCTGGCACTGGAGAGGGAGAAGAGAAGACCGAGGCAGAGAAGGGAAGGGATAGGGGAAGAGCTCTCGTTCAAGTATTTCCACTGATATGGACAGCCAAGCAGATCCTTGTTTCAATTTATCTATTCATATTTTTTATTACGACCATAGGATATTATATTTGGCATGCATATAGCCATCCCAAGATTCAACCCAATAGATCTACGAAATAAACACGGGAAAGCAATGAACATAACCTCTATATATATTAACCTTTTATAACAACTATATATATCTTAAAAACGGATGACAGAGCCAAAAGGGGTACAAAGGAATATGGTGATTTTCTAGATAGGAATAGTTACATCGCCCCTATATTTATAGTCTCGAGTGGACTTGCATCTCAAGTAAACTAATGAGGAAAAATCCTTATAGATTTGGACTCCTCTAAATCCTATCCAATATTTCCTAAACCGACTCTATTTCTATTTCCTTTCATTTATTTTAGATCCTACAGGATCTGAGTGTTGGCGGCGCGGCGGGAGGCCGCTGCCCCGCTGGTCACGCGCGTCCCCCCTCCTAGTGGCACAGTTTGGCCCCTGCGTGGCCAGCCTAGGCCCCTCTGGCCCCTCCTGGGCCTGTCATCATGGCGTATGACACCCATCAGGAAATATGGACAGAAAAACTATAGTTTACCGATTAACTCTTAAGACATATAGAGTCCCCCCAAGGAATCAAGCATGTATGTCTGCAACAGAACCTCAAAAACATTATGGGGGCGTTCTGTAAACAAATATATATAAATGCCACTAGCTCTATGGGATACTAAACCAAAATGATTAGGATATGTGTGCTTATGCAGCAATTCCTTTGTAAGTTTTACATGTCATTCTTGGAATAGACATTAGTGTCTATATTTTTGTTCACAGAGAAAAGGGATTGGAATTGTAAATTGGGTTTGTCAATGCAAAACGAAAACATCAACTACCCCGGAAATTCATAATTAGTACTGAAAAATTGGATTGTGAGGACAAAACTTAATTCATTCACGATTGAAAAGTCTCTGCACACAACAGCAAAAGCATTGCATATAAGCAAGTGAGACAAAAACTCTGAGTGCCCTCCACATACCACTCCCCTTTTTTTTGGGAACTCACATACCACTCCTCCCTTGTCAGTTTGAGATACACACCTTACATCTGACAAAAAGAACTTAAGAAAGCCAAATGCAGCGTTGACCTGCCGGTGTCAATGCATCTGAAATAATGGTACGTATGTCGCCGAAAATACGACGACTCTTCATAGACAAAGTACTCTATAATATAAGTATAACATGGCAGGGCGATCGCTAGCTTAGCTCCGCCGTCACTATCTTCGGGTGCATTCATCTTTGCAACAAACTCACTTGTATCCTTGTGAGATCCATGACCAGTGGCCTTCTAGAATGATAGTACTAGGTATAGTTAACTCCCATCATGAATCATTATTAGCTAAATCAGCAGTAACAGGTCGATAATATATACTTGTATTATAGAATAATTTAATACTAACGTACAACGGCACAAGTAAAAGTAGTGTACATGTATATGGGTGTAGATACGACGAATACCTGCTCCACCTAGGGCACTCCCAATTTGCCCCAATGCATAGTTTCTATAAGAAAAGACTGCAACTTACTCTCTCGGTTTCAAAGTGTGATCTTGGAGAGCGCAGTCCGCACCAAGTCAAATTGCGCCTTGTAATTTGAAAGATTATAGATGCTTAAACAATCGATGTGATTGCTTCCTCATTGAAATCAGTAGCACCATACCATTTGCTCGAAGATGAATCATGAATGGAGGCATCAGCAGAGGCTGTTGTCCACCATTCAGAGATGGGCGAAGAACCGGTTGAGGGGAGCACCGGTGCTAGGAACACCAGTATTCTGAGCAGCTGTCCCAGCAGCACGAGCAGCAAGAACATTGGCATCTGCATGGCGAGTTGCAATAGCACGAGTCGCAGCAGCTCCGGTTCTAGGGACACCACAGCCTCGCCAAGAACTTGTCTTCCTTGATCGATTCATTCTATGAGATTTGGAGACGGATTTTGGCTCACCGTGGATGGGGACGGACCTCGATTAGAAACAACAAGATATTGTTAGAGAGTAAACCCACCCGTGGGCCTGCCGACCCATGCTCGTCACCGTGCCTATATATGTACATTGATATTCATTGAGCAATACATTGAGTATTCCCTAATTCATTCTCTGTCAAGGTATCACATACGGTTCACTCCTGCGACCGCGCTTCCGCCAACCCTCGCCACAGCTGACTCCGTCGCCGGCCAACTACCCGCCCGCCGCCCAGCACCTCGCCGGGCTTTCCACCTGCCGCAGCTGACTCCGTCACCAGCCACCTACCCGCCCGCTGCCGAGCACCTCGCCAGACTTCCACCTACCGCTGCTGGCTCCGTCGCCGGCCACCTAACTGTTGGATATAATATGGGCTTGGCCCATATAATATTTAATAAATCAAATAAAACTCTATGGTACGTAACATTAAGTGTTGTATGGCTTAATACTATACGGGATTTTGACTGAACGCTGACTTAGCTTATATGGTTGGAAATTATTCATCTAAATTGAGAAGCTCATAAAAAGATAAAGGCGTGCCAGGCCAGGCCGGGCCACTGACTGCGTCAGTTACCGTCCCTTCCGCTTCCGCTTTTCGTCTCCTAGGATTCTCCGTTGCCTTCGTCTCCTTCCCCTGTCGCAGCCATATATCCCGTCCTCCGTCAGTCTAGACCCGACCTTCCGAAACAGTTCCTGAGAGAACCACAGATCAGCAGCCTTCTGGCTTCCCCGTCCCGTACCTCTGCGCGCACGGAGTAACGGGAGAGCAGGTGCCTCCGGAACCCTCATCCGCCTGAGAATCCTGCACGGGGTGAGCGGCGATTAGGTTTTTGGGGAGCGATCCGCGACTGCTCGTCCATCTTCTTCCTGCTGGAGATCACTCTTGGATTCGTCTTCTTCTTGTAACGTAAGGCGTCTTCTTTCTGGTGATCCTTCCGTGGGACTGCACTACGAACATCTTCCTGCATCGACTATGGTCCGTGACTTCGAGCAACGCACTATGTCGACTAGTGCGAATGGAGCCTCCGATGCCCTCGGCATGGGACCCTCCGCTGGGTACAGTCTAATCTATGTGATTACTGTATTTTGTATTCTTACTGTATCAATCAGTATGTCATCTATGCATGCTGTAGCGTTCATAAGAAATATACACATGCACATATATGCTGTCACAAACATGCTGATGTTATATTTCTGGATTAAACTGATAATGAAAATGCCTAAATCTCTAACAATCCAAAAATCTGATGTTAGGCAATTTTCTGTCAGTGGTTTTGCTGCAGCTTTAAAGCCAAATAATTT